AGGGTCGTTGCAATATGCGTTTTTGCTGCCTGTTGCAGCGCTCTAGCGCTGCAAGGCAAAAACGCACAATGACTCGGCTCGGCTCATTTCGTATATAAGCTGCAAAAAATTTTTTGCCCTGGTGACTGGTAGGGCCGCCCCACGGCTTATGGAAGCAGCTTGGATGTGGCCCGTGAGAGTGGGGGTGTCATGTGGGGGGCTTCATTCGAGGCAGGGGAGGGGGCTGAAATAAGCGGATATAAGGAATAAATGGCGTAGATATTTTGTCGGTTGTCCAAGTAACGCACATTTGGATGAAAGAGGGGAGCGGTGGAAAACGGAAAGGATGAGGAAGTGTGCTCCTGGTTTTTACCGTAGATACCTGGGGTAGGGAATGGTAATTACTGTTTGCTTGAATAGTGATGCTATAGTACGGATGGAGAAACGTCTATATCTTGTTTGCTAGCAGGATTTGGGACAGAGTAGAGAAGAGGGACGAGGATGGAACTCGAGGCAAGAACTGGAGACAGCAGTAAAGAAAAAAAGACAACACTGCACACGCAAACAGAAGTAAATTAAAGCAGTTCTGACACTATGAATAAAAGCAAAACAAACTAAGGTTTTACTAGTGGAAACTGACCGATAAAAACCCGTCATCAGTAGGGGACTTCCATTTTTATGAAACTGATGCTTAGGTAAAGTTGAGAGAGAATAAGTTCCATGAAGCGGGCAAAAACAGGGCAGAATGGATGCAATTATTCTGTATTCAAAATAATTGGCCAGCGCACGGTCAGCCCGTGCGAAGATGCGTTTTTTGCATAGTTCCCCGCAGTTTTTGTCGCTATCGGCACCGGTTTTTTCGGCAAATGCTTCCAGCTAAACAAATTAAGACTGGCCGCCAGAAATGTTAAGAAACATCCCTTAAAATTTCAGCTTTCTAGCTTTCCTGGCTCCTGAGTTAGCAACTTACTGGAAAAAAACATTCACGGGTCCGTACGTGGGTACCACGCATACCCGATGTCTAGGTTTGAGCTTGTTGAGACTTACGTGGACGGGGACCATCTCCTTAAAACTAGAGTCTTCTAGCTTTTCAAGTTCTCGAGTCAGCAACTTACCCGAGAAAGACTTTGGTGAGCCTGTGCGTGAGTACCACGCATGCCCGAGGGCTGGGTTTGAGCTAATGAGACTTAGGTAAACGAGGAATATCCTCTCAAAATTACAGTCCTTTAGCTTTTCAAATTCCTGAGTTATCAATTTACCCGAAAAAAATTTCGGCGGGCCCGTACGCGGGAATCAGGCTTATCCGTGGGCTGGATTTGAGCTCATTAATACCCACTTGAACTGGGAACATCCTCTTAAGATTTCAGCATTCCCGAGTTATCCCCGAGTTATGAACTTACCCTAAAAAAAATTTTGGCGGGCCCGTACGCGGACACCACGCTTATCCCGAGGGCTCAGTTTGAGCTCGTTAATATCTACTTGGACGCGAAAAATCCCCTTGAAATTTCAGCCCCCAAGCATTTCAGCTTCCCGAGTAGCAGCCTACCCGTAAAAAACTTTGGCTGGCTCTTACTTGGGTACCACGCGGGTAATGGCGCCCATTTTGGCGACTGGAGCCCATGCATGTAGATTAAGTTCCCAAAGTTTCAACGCTGTAGCTTTTGTAGGTCTTGAGATGAAAAACCGTGAGAAACGCACACACGGACACACAGACACAGACACATACATGGAACTCCTCGTCTATGTGCATTTTCTGCTTTGCATAGCTGCAAAAAACGCATAAAAACAAAAGTGC